ATAATTATTAATACAAAGATCAAACACTCAGAGAAACTAAGTGTAACTTTTTAATTGAAAAAAAAAAACCGAGAAATTGCTTATTGGCGTTTTTTCAATGTCCGTGGGATCCTCTCATCAGTTCTGACTTCTTGGTGACAACGCGACTGTTACGGACTCCTTTGTATATTTCCAACTTTTTTCTGGTTGTCATGGTGACGGTGATTTGTAGATTACGTGTATTAATTGTGTCAAGTGAAAAGTCGACTTTTCTTTGTGGAAAATATTTTTTTAATTTGTGATAGCCGAAACGAACCTAGGACATCATTAAGTATACCATCATATTACCATCATATACGTCAAGAGTATACCATGTCAAACATAAAAGAATTTTCAAAATCGATCCACAATACGATTTCTCGATTTCTCGTCAATTGTGAACCAGCATGTCAGTATATGCCTATAACATTTGAGGATTTTCCTCGATATCCATGGATCCCCTCGTTAGATTCTGACTTGGTGACACCACAACACCCTTCCAAACAAAAAAAGAGTTTTCAAAATCGGTCTACAATTGACGGAGAAATCGGAAAACATAATACAGCCGAACGTATAACATCCTCCGTTTTTTAAGTCAGTTAAAAAGGAATGCAAACTACGCAAATGGATATGACTCGGCTACAAAGGACTATGGAGTTCGTACTCCATGCTTAAGCTTGACGTGCCCTTGACCTCGTGGCCAAGGGCGCGTCAAGCTTGACACCTATAATTTAAATTTAAATTGAACGTAGAATGTATTCGAACATAAAGCAACACGGCATTAATTATTTGACCCACAAATAAAAAACTTGTATATAGCACGAATTAAAAGAAACGTCACTGTGAATATTTTTTATATTTAGCTATTTATTTATATATGATAGTAGTTTTGCATTTTTAAACACGTTTATTGAACGTCACGTCATCAGTCGAAGACCGCGGCTCCTGCGCATCGGTCCCGTTATACTTAACCCGACCGCATTAAAACGTCGCCGTCGTTTATTAATTTAATCAGCTGATTTATACGTATAATAAATCAGCTAAAAACACATTTTTGGTTTTTATTTTGTGATGTGAATTGAAATGTACTGTGTAACTTAGTAAAATGCACCCAGTGTTTGCGTTCAGTGTGACTTTGCAATTTAGATAAGATACAACCGAATTATTTTATTTAGTTTTAGTAATACTTGCCATGAATGATTTTGTATTAAATTAGTAATATTGTTATATTATCAATACACTTAGTATTTCTGTATAAAATACGAATAAGTATTTGCCTATAATCTATAACGGTGATAGATAAGATACCTAACACTAAATAAAATGTTACTATATGTGATATCTTATCTATATGGTTACCAGTCTACTTTGTGGTAGCCTGTCTACAACATTTACCATAATCAAATAGAGCACATTAAATAAACGTAGAAAATTAATTGATAACTATTCACCTTACATCACCATCGTCACGTTTATAATTTGTTGTCTCTTCGAGAATGTGATGAGATTCTAGTCATGGGTTTTTTGCTCGACGTGTTCAATGGTACATCAGTCAATATACCTGAGGCGTCATATTAAACATACTATTCTGTATAATGTACGTTGGTACATGATCACACCACAAACTGTGGCAAGAACTATGTACATAGGTGCTCACTAAATCTGTCAGTGATGAAATAGATCTGTTTGTAGTTATAATGTATTTTCGTGTAGTGTGGGCATTACATAAGTTACACTATTTAATGAGCACATTTTACTCTCTTCTTGTATAAACCGAGACTAATTATATTTGAATTGCACTATATTAACTTATTTAAAAATATTCCGTTGAGTATGTATTTGCATTTTAGCTGTGATATTACGGGTCTTCGTTGTTTGGTATTTTGACATGTGTAATGTGAATTATTATATAACATGACTAATAATCTTATTCAATTAACAACATACTCTATATTGCTGTATCTATCTATGACGGTGATAGATAAGAGACCTAATTTAAAAAATGCGCTGTTGTCCGTGATATCTGTACAATAAATATGTACGAAAGTGCAAAACTACAGAAGCTGTTCTAAAAGTATAGAGAAATAGAAACTTTACCCTTTCTTTTGGATTCGTTGTTGTCGGTTCAAAGGCAAAAAATGAAGTACAAAAAGAAGTTAGTGTTGTTTTCGCTGTTCGCCATGAACTTGGTCGATCAGCCGGCGCCTGAGGTGGAAATCCAACAAGGAATTGTGAGCGGTATCATCAGTGCAGATGGGTCGATTTTAGAATATATTGGTATCCCCTACGCTACAGCAAATAGCAGTAATCGTTTCCAGGTAGGTTTAGTTTAGTTTTCCTTGTTTTGATAGTTTGTTTATTGTCTCCGTTATGATTTTACCGTTTGTTTTTATTACTTCGTTTATGGCGTAATTAGAGTTATATTGGTTAGTTATGTTGCTTTAGATTAAAATGTATGTTTCATAACTCTGGTAGAAATAGCAAAGGGAATTTTCTTGTTTGAGACCAGGTCATTGGTGATTCTAATTACACCATAAACTAAGTAACACGAAATATTTTAGTCACGATCCAAGGTAATAAGAAAAAGAATGTTTGCATTAGGTGAATTGCTTTATAACTGTTGCTCTTCGATAATAAGAAGAAAAACGATCTCAGAGCAAATCTTAACAAGGCCGGAGTCCGCAGAAAGACGAACCGGAGGGCTTGCATGAAAAATTGATGAATGTAAGTGAGGCCCTCGTGCCCTTGCGAGTATCGTGTGAAATAGTGATCGATATTCTTTGCCTAATAATAACAAGAACTATTTGCCGTAAACACTCGTGTGTTTTAAAGAAATAATTTAATGGAAATATCTATTTATTTCGAAATAATTTTGGTTAAATCTAATTTCATTTTCTTCATGATATTACACGTATTAGTATCTATTTATTGTACATAAATTTCGTCACCAAACGTATTATTATTATTTTGTTTCGGAAAATAAACAAATGTCAAATCTGTCATTTGCAGGATCCGTATCCACCACCAAAATGGGATGGCGTGTACAACGCCAGAGAAGAATACACGTGTCCACAACACTTTCCGTGGCTTGGGCTTATTGGTTCAGAAGACTGCTTGAAAATCAACGTTTACGTACCGGCAAAGGCCCAAGCACCTCTTCCGGTCATGGTCTGGATTCATGGAGGAGCTTTCAAACTCGGCAGTGGGGGAAAAATGCTTTATGGACCTAAATTTCTATTGAAAAAGGATGTCATCCTAGTCACATTTAACTATCGACTTGGCATACTCGGATTTTTATGTTTGGGAATAAAGGAAGCCCCGGGAAATGCTGGAATAAAGGATCAAATAGCTGCTTTGAAATGGGTGAAGAAGAACATCGCCAAATTTGGTGGAGATCCTGATAATGTAACACTGTTCGGTGAAAGTGCTGGTGGCGCATCGTCTTCTGTACTATTAGCCAGTGAAGCAACTAAAGGTCTTTTTAATAGAGTAATAATACAAAGTGGATCAGCTTTAGCCGGTTGGGCGATTAATAGAAATCCTATATGGATAGCCAGCGTTATTGCTAGAGAATTAGGTCATGAGACTGATGATCCGAACAAATTATATGAAATATTTGCGAAAGCAGATTTCAAAGATTTAATTGAAATTAATGTGAAGAAACCTTTACGCAAATATACTGATACTCAACTATTACACTTGCCATGTGTTGAAAAGCCCTTCGAGGGTATCCAGCCGGCTATTAACGATTCACCATACAATCTTCTTAAATATAAGCCAAAAAATATACCAATTATTTATGGATCGACCACTCAAGAAGGTTTTTTGATACTGGCAGATGAAACAGAAGAATCGTTGCAAGAGAAAAATGATATGTTTTTATTCGCATCAGATTTGGAATTTCCTTCTCTTGAAGAAGCAGAAGAAGTTGACAAAAAATTAAAAGAATTTTACTTCGGAAATAAAAAAATAGATATGAATGTAAAATTTAAGGTATCTGATTTGTATACACACTTGTATTTTGAAACGCCAGTCATATTAGAAGCCGAGTTATTGCTTGAAAGTAGTAAGGCTCCGGTGTATAATTACATTTTTAACTACTCTGGTGGAAGAAATTTCTTAAAACATAGGCTGAACTTCAATAATCAAACTGGGGCTTGTCATGGCGATGAGTTGTTGTATTTGTTTGATGGATACCTTTGGCCATATGCTATAAACGATGAAGATCAGAGAATGATTGACTTAATGGCTACTATTTGGACCAATTTTGCTAAATATGGGTAAGTCATTCATTATTAGTGCAACTCTGTTTAAAAGAATTATTAGAAAATACATGTTAAAGTACGAAAACAATTCAAAAAGGTCAGTATCGTTATTTAGAAATATTGACTACATTAAGTTATACTTTTTTAATATGACAGCAGTTAGCAACAGATTTATTTTTACACTTACAAAAAGCTAATTTGGCTTTATTGTATTTGGCGTTAAATAGCCAACAGAAGTGTTTATTTATCATAACAAAGTTTTGATTGTCACAGAATTATAAAATAATTTTCTTTACAATAATAATAATATTTATTTACTAAGTCACATCACGCAACATTTAGTATATCAAGGTATTATTTTTGGATCTTTTGAAATTCTCCATAACTTAACTTAATTTAGTGTTAATACAATTTACATCAAATCATCCTTTATCAAGCAATCAAACTATTGAAGTTGAGGAAGAAGTATGTACATGTATATATCAATTCTGTCCGTCACCTTAATTTTATGAATCAAAATCAAGAAAACAATTCAAAATACTCATTAATTGTACAAATTGTTCTTTTTTGAAGTAACAAGAATATTTGAGTCGTTGCCCCAAATTGAGAGCGCATAATTTATCACCGAATGCATGTGCGCATAATAAACAGCAATAAACAGTAGTTAACGTTTTCCTATGAACCAATGGCTTAAGTTTAAGATGAGCATAGTTTTTTCGATGGCTTATTGTATTATCAATGGTGTATCCAAGAAACTTAGTGTCCATTTTTGTTCTAGATAAGCGACGATTACTAGCAGCGTATCTCATTATGACTGTTTTATTCCTATTCAAAGTTATTCCATTTAACGTGTACCAACTCTGCAACTTTTTGATAACTTCTGACACCTTTTGCTCCAACCCAAGTTCATTTCATTCTCTGATGCCAACGTGTGTATCACCAGCAAATAACGTCACATAAGTGTCTTTTGTTAAAAAATTTGGTAGGTCATTTATGTAAATTGCAAACAAGACAGGCCCCAAAACTGAACCTTGCGGTACCCCAACATCAGTCGTATCTATAGTTGATGTAGCGTTAATTGTTTGAACTACCCGTGACCTGTTTTTTAAAATACTTAACTTCTTGCATTCTTTAATAAAATTGTAAAAAATATTAGTACTTTGTAATTCCATGACAATACTAACTTTGTTATAGAAACTAATTACCTTGTCAGCTCTTGGTCAACAAATATTTTTTTCTGAGTGTATTTCATTGTTTTTATGTGTTTCATTTCTTCTTTTTTATAGTCATCCAACGCCATCGTCAGCTAACTTGCCAGTGAAGTGGGAACGCAGTACAAAAGACAAGTTACAATTCCTATACATAGACCACCGATTAAAAATGGGTCCATTGCCTAATCCCGAAGCCTACCAAATATGGCGAGATATCTACAATAAGTATAGAAGAAAAGACTTCATAAATACTTATAACACTGTTTTTCCATAAAATTATACTAGACAGTACTAAAAAATTTGAACAACGTAAGGAATTTTAAGGTAATTTTATGACGATGGAATTAATTTGATTAATAGATAAAATTAAATTAGATATTATTTTAGATAGGGTCCCTAAATAGGATTGTATTCATTAGTAAATAATAAACCGGTTCTTAGAATTCACGAAATAAATCACTAGTAAAACATCACATCAAGAGCTCAATAATATTTTATGTAAATTGTTCTAAAACCACGAAAGCTGTGGTATATTCGAACAAGAACTTTTTTCTGCAAAAATATTTTACAATACCAATAATAAATATTTGACATAATAAAAGAAAGCATTTTTGTAAAATGAAATAATGACGTTGTGGAATTAGATTGGAGAAGCGTTGTTCGTTTATTTGAGGTTAGATTCTTCATTCTTTACGAAATGTCCTTTGACGTTGTAACTCTTCACGAATTATCGTTTTGAAAGTAATTGTATTAACAACTTCGATTTTCATAACGACGAACGCTGGTAGAGCAGTGGGAGAGCGGTTAGAATTCCTGAACCGGCGTGTGCCTGCTATTTTTATTTCTAAGTTACGTGTATTGTTCAATGTTAAGTATCTACGCCTGTCGCCAACAGTGAAGGAAAACAGCATGATGAAACCTGCACGTCGATGAAGATTCACCACCTTTGGAAAACGTGACATATCTCGCAGTGCAGAAACCTGTGCCCAGCAATGGGATGAATAACAAGTTGGTCGTGAGGATCATATTTTAAAAACATACTGATACGGAGCGGATGAGGAATTGCTTTTAAAAAAAAAAATATTTACCCCAAAAACACACTATAGTTAAATTCGTAAGACAAAAAAGAAAATTATAATGAGAAGCCATGTGTCGCGATAGCATTAAAATCCAATCTGCCTGCACGTGGTGGTTTTTGGTTGGAAGCGCTTCCAGTTTCCTATTTGCGTCAAATGAAATAGGAACCGTGAAATGAAAAATTATAGCTAAACAAATTATTTTTTTATATGTTGCCGGCTATATGGGCTCGTAACAATACCCTAACATAATGTATAATAATTTGCCGAATGTTCAAGCTTGAATCCTTTATTATCCTATATTATCAAGGCCAAAAAAACACTTCCGATATCCAACGACGTTATCAACTTTGTATTTGAAAACATTTATTTATGTGGCGAAATAAACTAACACAGTACTAGCAGCTGTAACCACGCCTCCATTTACGTATTTTAAGGAAATAAATAAGCCACATCGACCAAACTTTCGCCTAATTGGCGTTCGAGTAAATAGCTATCAATTTCTCAGTATTCTGCTGGAGTCCTCGGGGGCAATTATATTAGGCGATAGTTTATTCGATAAGTTTCGCCTCTCATTCGACAGCGGACCCCCGCTGATGATGTTCAAGGGACAGAGCGTTGTCTCGAGATCCTACATAGCTGATTGAATGCGAGTTACTTATTTGATCTTTGGTCCGGAACAAGTGTAGCAAAGGGAAAGAAAAATTCCGCATGAATATTAGACTGAAAATATTATTAAGAACAGTCATCGATAATGAGACTCGAGCGCCGCCGTGTGTCGCGTTACCGACCGTTTGCTACCGTTTATAATTTGTTTATATGGGTCATAGAGCGGCGATGCAAGCACATGCAAAGCGATCTATTCAAGATAGTGCAACAATGTTTTTCATTATTAGTAACAAAGATACAGGAGACGTCATTTTAGGTCAGACTTTATAATTTTTAGAGCTTAACAGGAATATAATATTTAATGAGAAGAATATCCGGTCACGCGATACATGCAACCGTGGACGCATTCCGCCACAGAGCGTTGCGCGATTCATGCGTCTCTGGAAGCATACCACACCTAGAGGTGCCGGCGATGATTTTATACCGATTTATCGGACATCGAAGTTATAACAGGTAAAAGAACTTATATTAATGGCTATTTCGGTAACTACTCTAGCAAACCATAAAGCTTTTAATGCCTGAATCTGTCATTTAAAAAAAAAATAAACAACTTCAAAAATATGTCACGACGATCGTGTGTGTTATTGTTTGGGCCGGCGATTTCGGTGTTTATTTATTGAAAACGTACTGTAAGTAGCGTTTTTTAAGTTTACCCTGAATATAAATGTTTATAAATCATACTTTAAGGAGTAGTTTCATGGTAAACGTTAGAACCACTCAAACGGAATATTATCATATTTATTTGGATTTATGGTGTACTTGGGTACACCAAAAATTTCATTAGTGCTTTTTAAGTGCAGGATTTGCGGTGTATTACTGCATTTTATTTGAGATGTTTTTGTTGTAGTACGGAGGGTATTTATTTAGCAATGCAGAATAATAATTTTTATTTATAAAAACTTGTATTTCAACTGAATGCGTTTCTAATTTGCGAAACCAGATAGCCGCCATTTTGCGGTAGGTTTATCCTATCCTTTAAGGGCCGTGTAGGTGGGAGTAGCGCATCGCGTGAGCGGCTATGAAGAATTATTGTAATTAACATGTATTTATTTAGTTTCAAAAGGCACACCAACAGCAAATATGTATTAATAAATTCAAACAAGTTAAAATTAAAACGAACAAACTCTAATACATAAGCCAATTCCAACTCCAATGCACGCATCATTCAATGACTAATACCTAGATCCCCAGTAAACTTATGAATATTAAAAGTAGAAAAATATTGAAGTAAATTTAAGTATAAATAATAAAAAAAAAATGTTTGACATGAAGTTTAAAATTGCAAATTTATAATTTGATATACGAATGAAGATGTACGAATGAGTACCTAATTACATTTTCACAGGGTGCAAGAAACAATTAGTAATATTTATAAAAAACAAGACACAATAACATTAACATTATTTCAATTGACCTACATGAAAAAATAAGAAATACAAACTAAGCAAATGGACATGACTCGGCTACAGAGGACTATGAAGGACGAGTCCAAGGACACGTCAAACTTGACACCTAAGATTTAAATTTAACTCCACGTCGTTTACGGTAAGAACGGTCGCAACTCTAAAAGCAGGGGTTGGGACCGTTCATTAAGCTTGAGCTGATCTTTACGCCTATATGTCGCAACCTGTTATGGTTAGAAAATCACAGAAAAATAATAAATACACACACGCACATTAGCAAGAACGACATAATGTAAATGCAAAAAAAATCGAATACATTCGTACACAAATCAATCCGCTAAATTTATCGTACTTACACATAAAAAATCCGTTTAAAGCACCAATTAAAATAAACATCGTTGTGAATACTTTTATACTTATCTATTTATTTATTTATGATACTTTATATTTTTAAACACGCTAATCTATGAACGTCACGTCATCAGACGAAGGCCGAGGGGCCTACACGTCGGGCGCATTACACGCAACCCGACCGTATTAAAACGTCGTTCATTAATTTAATCAGCTGACTTAAGTATATAATAAATTATCCAAAAAACAACAAATACATTTTTGGTTTTTAATGTCTTTATTTTGTGGTGTGAATTTAAATGTATTGTGCAACTTAGTAAAATACACTCAGTGTATACGTTCAGTGTGACTTTGCAATTTAGTTACGTACGATACGACCAAATCGTTTTAAACATTATTTTCTGTACCATGTACCAATTCACACCACAAACTGTGGCAAGAACACGGTGGTCCCTAAGTTAGTCAGTAATGAAATAGATTTGTTTGTAGATGTAGTGTCCTTTTATGTAGTGGGCATAGTTGACAGTATTTGTTGAGCACATCTCGTTCTCTTCTTGTATAAAACGAAGCTTATGAAAATAAATTCTTTTGGGTTTAACTGTCTTAACTTAATTAAAAATAACCTACCAGCAATAAGTTGTTGTTGTTTTCTCCAACATAACAAATAAATATTTGTAAATATACGACAGTTCAAAACTGCAGAAACTGTTACTAAAATATAGAGAAGAATTCATTGAAAGAAATAAAAACTTTCTTCTCGGATTAAAAACAAAAAATGAAGTACAAAAAGAAGTTAGTGTTGTTTTCGCTGTTCGCCATGAACTTGGTCGACCAGCCGGCGCCCGAGGTGGAAATCGAACAAGGAATTGTGAGCGGTATCATCAGTGCAGATGGGTCGATTTTAGAATACATTGGTATCCCCTACGCTACAGCGAATAGCAGTAATCGGTTCCAGGTAGGTTTAGTTAGTTTTACTTGTTTTGATAGTTTGTTTATTGTCTTTGTTATGATTTTCCTGTTAGTTGTTTTTATTACTTCGTTTATGGAGTAATTAGAGTCGTATTGGTTAGTTATGTTGCTTTAGATTAAAATATAATGTTTCGTAACCTGGTAGAAATAGTAAACGGTTCCCTTGTTTGAGACCAAGTCATTAGTCTGGCTATCAGGCATATGGTACACATTATTGTTCTTGTCATGTTATATTATACAAAATATACAAGATGGGTAAAAGTAACTTATGAAATTTAAATTGATACTATTAACAAAGAATATTTTAGTCACAATCCAAGGTAATAAGAAAAATAATGTTTGCCTAACTAGTTGCTCTTCGATAATAAGAAGAAGAACGATCTCAGATCAAATCTTAACAAAGCTGGAGTGCGTAGAAAGACGAACAGGAGGGCTTGCATGAATAAATTGATGAATGTAAGTGAGGCACTCTTGCCTTTGCCAGGATCGTGTGAAATAGCGAAAGATATTCTCTGCCTAATAATAACAAGAACCGTTTGCCATATATATACTTGTATGTTATAAATAAATGGTTGCTATTTGTGAGATTTAAATATCTAATTATTTCGGAATAATTTTAGTTGAATATTATTATATTGTCTCGAACATTATAATATAGATGCGTACACTTATCTATTTATTGTGCATAAATTTCATCACCAAATATCAATGTATTATTTTGTTTTGGCAAATAAACAAATGTCAAATCTGTCATTTGCAGGATCCGTATCCACCACCAAAGTGGGAAGGTGTGTACAAAGCAAGATATGAGTATACGTGTCCACAACACATTCCGTGGCTTGGGGTTATTGGTTCAGAAGACTGTTTGAAAATCAACGTTTACGTACCAGCAAAGGCCCAAGCACCTCTTCCGGTCATGGTCTGGATCCATGGAGGAGCCTTCAAACTCGGCAGTGGGGGGAAAATGCTTTATGGACCTAAATTTCTATTGAAAAAGGATGTCATCCTAGTCACATTTAACTATCGACTTGGCATACTCGGATTTTTATGTTTGGGAATAAAAGAAGCCCCGGGCAATGCTGGAATAAAGGATCAAATAGCTGCATTGAAATGGGTGAAAAAGAACATCGCCAAATTTGGTGGAGATCCTGATAATGTAACAGTGTTTGGTGAAAGTGCTGGTGGCGCATCGTCTTCTGTACTATTAGCCAGTGAAGCAACTAAAGGTCTTTTTAATAGAGTAATAATACAAAGTGGATCAGTTTTAAGTGGTCGGGCAATTAATAGAAATCCTGTATGGGTAGCTAGTATTATTGCTAAGACAATAGGTCATGAAACTGATGATCCGAACAAATTATATGAAATATTTGCGAAAGCTGATTACAAAGATTTAATTGCAGTTAATGCGAAGAAACCTTTGCACAAATATAGTGATAGTCAAGTATTAAACTTGCCATGTGTTGAAAAGACCTTCGAAGGTGTCGAGCCGGCTATTAACGATTCACCATACAATCTTCTTAAAAATAAGCCAAAAAATATACCAATAATTTATGGTACGACCACTCAAGAAGGTTTTTTTTTACTGGCGGACGAAACAGAACAATCGTTGCAAGAGAAAAATGACATGTTTTTATTCGCATCAGATTTGGAATTTCCTTCTATTGAAAAAGCAGAAGAAATTGACAAAAAGTTAAAAGAATTTTACTTCGGAAATAAAAAAATAGATATGAGTGTAAAATTTAAGGTGTCTGATTTGTATACACACTTGTACTTTGAAATGCCTGTAATGTTAGAAGCCGAGTTATTACTTGAAAATAATACGACTCCAGTGTATAATTACATTTTTAACTATTCTGGTGGAAGGAATTTCTTAAAATATGGACTTGGTTTCGGTAATCAAATTGGGGCATGCCATACCGATGAATTGTTGTATTTGTTTGATGGTTATCTATGGCCATATCCTATTAACGATAAAGATCAACTAATGATTGACTCTATGACTACCATTTGGACAAATTTTGCTAAATATGGGTAAGTCATTCATTATTAGCGCAGGTCTTTTTGAAAGAAATGTTAGAGAATACATCTTAAAGTACAAAAACAATTCAAAGAGGTCAGTAACTTTATTTAGAAATATTGACTACATTGTTTTACATACTTTTTTGAAAGTGACAGCACTTAGCCACAATCTTACCTTTACACTCACAAAGACCTAATTTGGCTGATAGGCAACAGAGGCGTTGGTTAATTGTAACATAGTTTTTATTGTAGTAGAATTGAATATATGCGCCCGATATCCGATGCTACGGGCCGCCGTCGCCGCCGTCGCTGCCGTCGCCACCGTTGACGTCAATGCGATCACGTTGTCTTCATGCACAGGCTGATGACATGCCTCGTGCAATGCTCTATTGTTTTGAGGTCGCTGCTTATTCGGCGATTGTCCTACGTTCGCCTTGCGTAATGACAATAAAAACTTTGTTACAGAAAATAAATACCTTGTCGGCTCTTAGTCAACACATTTTTTTTTCAGAGTGTATTCTATTAATTTTTATGTAATACGTTTCTTCTTTTTACAGTCATCCAACACTATCTTTGTCAGCTACCTTGCCAGTGACGTGGGAACCAAGCACAAGAGACAAGTTACAATTCCTGTACATAGACGACCGATTGAAAATGGGTCCGATGCCTAATCCTGAAGCCTATCAAATGTGGCGAGATATCTACAATAATTACAGAAGAAGAGACTTCATAAATACTTATAACACTGCTTCTCCATAAAATTATTCTGGAAAGTTGGTAATAAAAACATTTGAACAATATAAGGAATTTTAAGATTGTAATTTTGTAACGATCGAACAGATGAATTAGATTAATTTATAAATAATAAAACGGTTCTTAAAGTGTACAAAACAAATGAGTAGAAATACATCATACCAAGCGCAAAATAATATTTATTATTATAATATAATATTCATTCCTCACGAAATGTTTCTAGTCAGTGTGTACGAATTATTATTTTGAATGTAGGCCTCTAAACTGAGACATAATGTCTCGACGTTCCGACTCCCTATAGCGGCATGTGCCTGTGATTTTAATTTCTAAGTTACATGTTGTTATTAAACGTTAGGTAAGTATCAACACCCTGTTACCAACAGTGAAGGAAAATATGATGAAACCTGCGCGTCGAAGAAGGTTCACCACCATTGGAAAACGTGTAAATTCAGACAGAGCAGACTACGGCCTAAACTGTCTCTTTTTAAAAAAGACCAGTGCCCAGCAGTGGGATGAATAATGGGGTCAGTCATTGGAGTGATGATATTTAAATAGCATACCCAAACATATACAAGAATTCATCAAACGTACAAACTTTAATGGAGTTTATAAACTATAATAAGTAGATAAGATACCAATCTTCCAATATTATCACCATACATATATTAACGTACAGAATACTAAATAAAAAAATATGTGGCGAAATAAACTAATACAGTATTAGCAGCTGTAACCACACCTCCAGATATAATAAGGAAATAAATAAACCACATTGGACCAAACGTTCGCCTAATTGGCGTTCGAGTAAATAACACTCGATTTCTCGGTATTCCGCTCGAGTCCCCGGGGCCAATTATATTAAGCGATAGTTTATTCGATAAGTTTCGCCTCTGATTCGACAGCGGACCCCCCGGATTGATGTTTTATGGACTGAGCGTTCTCCCGAGATTCCAGATAGCTGATTGAATGCGGTTGATTTATTTGACCTTTAGTCCGAAATTAGTGAAACAAAGGGAAAGGAAAATTCGTCTTGAATATTAGACAGAAAATATAATGAAGGATAGTCACCGACAAAGAGACCTGTGCGCTACCGCTCCGTCTAGAATATTATATCTGTGCTACATCTGTACTAATAGACAGTCGTTGAAAGTACGTACATTTAGAGAAATTACATGTAAACCAGGAGAGATCACACTTTGTTTACTTTGTACCCATTCAAATAATCACTTTACAAAGTTATATGTATCAGAATATTTCTTGAATCAAACAGATATCCTCTAAAATGTTTCAGAGACAGGTGTCACTCGAGTCACGTGAAGCACAATATGGCGAGCGACGCGCCGTGAGCCGCGGACCGACGAGTCATGAAATATTGACGTCACTTCTAAGCAAAATGCGCCAGAAGTAAAATTTAAATTTTCACAAAATATGATAAAGCGCACCTCGGGGAAAACCGGGGGCCAGGAGAGTTGTCAAAGTTTTCGTAGTTGCAAGTTATGGTCGAACATTTTGTTGAGAAACCGAAGCAAGATTTTATATTTTCATGCACAATCCATAGTACTCTCAGAGTCTCAGGCCTTCAATAAATAAATACATTAAAGCAAAAATGTACATTAAAATTAATACTGTTCAACAAACGCATCTTTTATTACTTTTTAAAGTAAATGCATGTTAGATATATAACAAAATAAACTAGTACTTATCGAAAACTTGCGGTCTAGCTGGATCTCTAAATTCTATTAGCTAGTATGGAACAATCTATAGAACAATAGCTCTAGTAACTTGCGCCAATCTCTAGTAGATACAAGTTCTCGACTACAATGTCTCGCACTATGAATATTACACCAAGTTTCGTGGCTCTCCCTCCGCGCCCACGCTTCTATAAGACAGTGTCCTGTTTTTAGAACTTTCGTCTGTGTATATCTACATAAACGCATTTTCATCTTATTGCTCCTACAGTTGAACCCGGTGCAATCAGCTGCTGCTGCTGTAGTCTTGTTCAACTGGCATTTTTGTAATCTTTGCACTTTTAATCGGATAATGACTTGAAATACTATACACCAACAAATAGCTATTTTAACCATTTCGTCTAGTGCCTCATTTACAAGTACACGAGACACTTTGAAACGTGACAAGAGCCCGTTTCGTGATTTATCTTGACCAAGTTACTGCCATGCGGTTAATATCAAGTTTGAGACGAAAAGCTTCCATGAAGTACTCAACTTTGGCCGTTCCTCGCCGCAATAGTAATGAAATGAAACTTAATTACAATTATCCCCGGTAGCCAAATAACAATTAAAAATTCTCAGTACACTCTGCGAATTTTAAGAGCGCCTTATCTTATCCGATGTTTTCATTAGGGACGCCCCTTGCGGACGGGCAATCGCTAAATTTTATAAGTATTATGCAATAAAATAAAATTTACGGTACTTCTTAACAACACCGGAGCACTTTAGCAAGATAACCCGGGGAGGCCTTAAGCGTTATTTATCGTCAACTTGCTCCTCTATTCATAAAATTGCGGTTTTGAATTTATTATTTACGTTATTTATTCAGAGTTGGCGGGAATGTGAATAAAACTCGTTTAAAGTGACGCAGAATGGTCTCCGGGATACGCTTTCTCCTTTTTTATGCGCTCAATAAAATTTGAAGTAAACACGCAAAACTCCGTTCAAGGATGAAATGACTCTTTTTATAAAAAGAGCGTAAAAAGCTGCTACAAATGTTTACGTATGTACTATTTTTAGGTAACCAGGTTTCATTTTTCATTCTTATAGCGAACAAATTAAATTTAATTTCATTAATTCAGTCGTGTCTCTCGGTTTAAATGCCTAGGGCACATTGCTAGTGAAGATCTTGGAGATGATGATGATGTTGAGGGGGAGCGCAGGGCGTTGTTGGTGCGCGGTAACTTGTTTGCTCAGAGGGTTCCTAGATGCTCCGTAAATGTAAATATAACACTGATCAGAGCTTACTGTCAGAGAATTCTGTTGAGGCTTCTTGAGGGTGTTTTGCGATTGCGTGTGTAGATGATTTTTACGCATGATAATGCACAAAAAAAGCGCGTCACAGATGTTGCGACAGCGAGGGAGCACCAATGGTATCCTGAGGTTGATAGCATGAAGAATGAACTCGGTTGTCTTCCGTAAGTTCGCTGTGTCACATATCGTCGGTGTTTTGTTAAAATGGCGAAATCGGTATTTCGAAAAATTTTTTTCAAATTATTAAAACCAAAATTTGATTTGAAAACATGACGAATATGTTTTAAAACAATCGTTAAAATCTAAAATTGGTCTTCTAAGAAATTTTTCGAAATGGCGCAGTCGCCCTTTCTATTTATATAGTAATGTAATTTAATTGAATAAAATAAGATTGTTACTCAGAAATATTGACCAATTAGTCTGATAATAAATGACTTTGAATTAATATTTTGAGTTCATTATCAGTGGTTTCCTTCGCATGACGTGTTCGAATAAACACACTATTGAAATTCAAATTCAACTTCTTCGTAAAATCTGTAACTCACAATTTCAAAGAAGCTAATTTCCAATTTCAATATAACGAATTCGTAGCTATATTTCAAATTTCGACACAAAGGTCAAATGAATGAAAACCCTCCGTGGGTGTACATAGCAAAGTGGTCTTGCGTGTAAAATAATCCTGCTGCATTTGCCATTCATTGTGCTTTAGATACGAGCTCAGATCCTTCTTTTTATTGCTGCAATGGAAAATACCTTTTCAACATAGAAGCTAACGTTCTGAAATATAGTTTTAAGACCAGGAATGTAAAGTCAAAAATCGTTTGAAAGACTTCAAACGAAAATGTTTCAGATAATTCTATTTTTTGTCAGCGACAGACGAGTGATTTACGGTAGAGTATATTTTAAAATTACAATATTGTAAACAATAGTACGGAAAAGGGATAAGGCGAAATTTGCCAATATTGGAAAAGATTACAAATTGGATAATGCATTTAACTCTGTACTTCATTAAAGCAAACGGCGATTTTTTGATAATACAGTAATTTGGAAAGTCAGGTGATGCGTATATTATATTGCAATCTACCTTCCTTACTACATTACATACACACGTACCATCCTGCCTGTCTTCCACTAAGTAGGCAGAGGCTATGGCGCTCCAATCGCAAATATCTTGATACATCCTTCCCATCAGTCTTTTCATACACGCCCTTTATTCTTGATACTTTTCTCCTGGTCTTGCCAGGAAGACTTTTTGCCCACGTACATTATTATTAAATTGGTATAAACAATTATTTATTTTTCTTAAACTTAACTTAACATTTGTAGTAACTTATTTAATTAACCTGCTTTTCGAATCCCAAATACGAAATGTAGGTGTAAGTGAAATAATTATATAAAGGGATGTTGACAAATTATGTTAATTAGTAATTGTATTGTAGCTTAGTAGCAATAGAGCTCCTAGTGAAAGAGCTCGTCCTGGAGAGTACTACCGCCTTACTTATTTCTGCCGCCAAGCACTAATGTGAACATTAGTGCGTTTCGATTTTGAAGGGTAAGGGTGAAATTACAGGCACATGGGACTTGTAAACTTGTCTCATGGTGTGTATGTTAAACTGCCTCCGTAGCCGAACAGTTACCATAATGGATCGCCATACAGATGTCCCGGGATCGATTTCTAATATTTCTAATATTTGAATGGTCTATCTTTATTTCCCTTGTGATTGTGGGGGTAATACGTGTGTCTATGTGTGTGTCCATGACACCCGCGAATTGATGTTTCTGTAGTGTGGGGTCATGGATGTGTGCTTGTGTGTGTTTATGCAGAGGTATCGCTTAACACCAGGGACACGACTTGTTTGTCCCCTCACTTGCTATTATAAAAAAAGGTATTGTAGCTGAAATAAAAACCTGCACGGCACGTAGTCGCAAGTCTGCATAAGGCAGAACAAAATGAGCAAGGAGCACGAAGCATTGAGTGGAAACTGGAAGTCAGCTGGAGGCGTGATACAGATACGAGTAAAGGTGATATTAATTTCGAATTTGCTCATGTTCCTCCACCGGCCCGATTACTGTAGGTACTTACTGAGGGAATTTCGATAAGTATTGATTGGTTTAATACTGCAACATTGTTGTAGATGGAAGATACGCATATGTATTTTGTTAATAATTCCAAATTGAATTAGGAAATGGATCTACTTTGTCTAAAACTAGACAATAATATACACACAAATTGGAAAAAAAAACGTATCAAAAAAGTGCTAATAAGATATCTTGATTTACACGCGCAATACAAGAAATTAAAAACGTACAGAATTCTCTACATCTCTCGCTATTTACTACGCTTGTGTTTTTTCGTGGTTAAGTAACTATAGTGTAATAATACTATGCAATGGGCAATAGTATCGATGCACTATCCCTATTTACAACACAGGAAATACTTACTTAGATGACGCCGTGATTCTCCGACACAAGATGCTGCCACGCCTCTTGGTGCTGCGCCTTCTAAGCTAATAGCACCGCGATCCTACAGGCCTTTCTGGACATCATGGCTCCGGTCAGCGTCCACTCGGTCGACCCAAATACGTCTTCTTCGCGGCATAATCCTCTCCATTCACTCTACGTGTCCGAGCCAACGAAGTATTGCAGCTTTAGTTTATCCCATTAAATTGGACCCGGACTTCAGATTTTAAGATTCTTCTTTGCCCTCCAGCTCCAATCCTCTTTTTGAGTAATTTGAAATACAAGAAATACTTATTCCAATAATGATACCCTAACCCGATAGTTGCCGACCTCACTTTGTAAAGGCAAAATGTCACGCTATCCTCAACACACATCTGTCAGATTTGTAAATTTGTTGGTGAAAATCAAGATATCTATAAACACCGTCAGGACATCCCATCAAAAAAAATATAATGACACAAAAACAGATTCATTCTAGAAACTCAACATTTGTCTGGACGATTCGTCATATCCACAAAAATTAATAACAAATTGCCTGATCCTAAAGCTGAAGAAGACAATATGAAAGAATTCCTGAAGAAAATGTTATAAACCATAAGGTACACTTCAAACAGTCTACCCTTAGTCTCTTCCCTCCTGCTATGTTGTGCCCGAAAGAGTACAATTTCGGGCACAACAACAGGGAAAGAGTACAAATCCTTTTCCTATGTAACACCTTATACACTATTGTACAATGTAAATAAAGAATATTGAATATTAATATTATGGTTTTTTTATTACATACTCAATAATAGATGTACCGAATTCGTTCACTCTAATCATAAACCTATAATAACAACACGTTCGGTCGTGATTACAATTCCTAATTCCCTTGAACGGTTATAAATCGACTAATTTATAAATTAGATAGAGTTTGCTGCCTGGTCTGGATAAATTTGTAATTCATTCCGACATTATTATTTTGAATGAAGCCTACAATTATGCTGTAAGGCCGTTTTGAGCTCTAGCATATTTTATTGTACAATCATAATTGCTATCACAAAATTGTTACGATTGTAACTTTTTTACCTTAATAATTTATCCACCGGGTTTCAAAGTCATTGGTTTGGTAGATGACTGGCTTTTATTTTGATCCGAACCTAATTCATATTAATACATTTACACAATCTTGTCCTACATAATCGAATCAAGACCAAC